ATATCTATAGATACTTATAGGGCTTGTTTTGAGAATGCCAGAAACAGGATGGTCCAGTCAAACGTGACACTGGAGACAGAAATGGGAAAAAAGAAGAAGAGGTAGACGAAGCGGCGGATAATTAATTTGAGAACGACAGATGTACGCCATTGGCAGTATTTTTAAAGCCTGTAGCTTACAGTGGCGTGGTGGCGGAGTGGTTAGTGCGCTTGTGAGTAATTTGCTATCATCTATTTTGTGGATGAATCTAGCGGTTCTACTGCAATAGTGCTTTTCCATCGTGTTGCCACCGTGAACAACAACAAAGTGGGAATCCCTCAATGACGTCAAACAAAATGGCTGTTACTATAAATATCGGCCAATGGCGTACACCTGTCGTTCTCAAGTTATCCGTATGTGGTATACCAAGGGACAGTTATATAGGAGGAATACGATCAGGGATGAGGGAATCACTCGGAGGACATGGATGTGTCAAAGCTAGACGAAGTAGCCAGGGATAGACAAGCGAGGCGTCAACTGTTCTCTCTGCTTTGTGCACGACCTAAAGGGACAAGAGAGAGAGAGAGAGAGAGAGAGAGAGAGAGAGAGAGAGAGAGAGAGAGAGAGAGAGAGAGGGGGGGGGGGGGGGGGAGAAGAGAAAGAGATACGGTAATGTTTTATGAGACAAGGAAAAGAAAATGGATCTTCCCTCCATCTTGGTATTTCCTTCTTTAATTTTGTCGACAAAGATGTACTTAAATCATTGGGGCCCTACCACTTAGGAAAGGGCAAGTATTAACCATTCAATCGTTTCACTCATTTAACCCCTTGTGAACCAACTTATGACTTGTCCCCAAAAGTTCCCTTAAATAAAGTAATTCCATTGACTGCCTTCACAGAGGCACTGATGTTTTTCCTTATATAATCTTGTTTCGAACACAAATGTTAGTAAGTTAGTTAGAATTTGTGTTTGTTTGTCTGTTTGAGTAACAACAGTATAAACAACACTATGGGTAGTAAAGAAGTAAGAGCTGAAGTTGACACATCTCTAACCAACCTAAATTTTTTATAATTATTAAAACATGACTCATGTTAAGGCCCAGGTAAACATGGTCTGAATTAAGGGAGGAAAACGTCCTCATCTTTCGTTCCATTTTGATTTTTATCAAAGAAGAAGGAGAAAGTTACATTCCTTTATTTGTTCAAGCTGTTCTTACAATAATACAAACAAACAGATCAAGATATTAGACGTGATCTAGGTTTCGAGATTCGTTTGTTTCTTAAAGTAAAATGGAGCACATCGACACAAAAGAGCTATTTTAATACTACATAAAAATAGAGACACAGATACAAAGAACAGAGGGAAAGAAAAGAGGTAGGCCGTTCAAGGAGTGCCATGAAATAAACCTACAATAACTTTATCCTGTTGGACACATTTTGTCAAAACGCAATAACATCGGATATTCATTGACATTAGAAAAATTCGACTAATCTGATTCTTCGAGAACGCAGCACTGAACTAAAAAAAAGACAGTGGGTTTTCACGTATGTACACTGGCATCTGTGGTGTAGCAGTCAGACGCTTTGAGGTCGAAACAGAAAGCCTGAGTTCGATTTCCATATGGGGTTCATTATTATCGAGCATCTCCATCTTTCTGCTGGAATGTTATATATCCCTCTCCGTCCGGGTTGGTCCCAACAGACTGGGTTGAAGTCTGTCTCAAACAAGACCTAAATCGTGTCGATGGGGGGAGCAAACCCAACTACATTTATTAAAAACAACAACAAACACCCCCAACACACACAAACAAACAAACAAACATCAAACAAACAAACAAACAAACAAACAAACAAACAAAAAAACAACAACAACAACAACAAAAACAATAATAACAAAGCAACTTACCTTTGTACAAGTTCTCTCCATGCGCTCCAGGTACTCCCTTTTGCATTTTGACCTTCTAGGGTCACTCACACATTCCTTGACCCCATTAGTCTTGCACGTGCATGACCTACATCTTTCCGAAAACTTCCTGCCGACTGGATAAAGGACGTCACCACTACGACAAAACTGACGCCCCTCCTCCAAGACTTTCCTCTTTCCCTGCTCCGCGGAGCCAGTTATTCCATTCGTTCTAGCTTCGCGGATAAGTCCAATGTCAAGATTGACTCTTCTGGTGCCGTTGGCTGAGTGGTAGATAGCCGCTGTGACGTCACCGGGTGGGCATAGGATCAGTTTGATAATAATGAGAGCATGCACGCAGTACAGTTTCATTCCCGGCATCCTTACTGAGTGCTGATCTAGAAAAAAAATATTAAAGGATAATAATTATAAGGCCCAACGAGAGGAAAAAGTCAATATCAGGAAACGGGTGTTGTATCTATCTAAAGTGGTGTGCACAAGTATACAACTTTCAGCTTCGTTGGATCGTATCGAGGTGTCAGTCAGGACACTGTGGACTTATCTATCAAACAGAAATTCGTTTAAATAGACTCTGGACTTATCTATCAAACAAAAATTCGTTTAAATAGACTTTGACCTCTTTAAAATATTTCAGTGGCCAATTGGTAAACAGTAATTATGAAACAGGGTTTGCTGATATTCTTCCGATCGGGCGCACTTTCAGATCAGTGCGAGCACACTACACATAAACATAATTGACAAGATGCTCCTAAACCACCCATCACGCTTCAACATAATGTCAAAATAGAAATTTTGTCTTTTCTTGGGAAATGTTTGGTACAGGTCTACTTCAAC